AAATTAGCCAATCAGAATTGATTATATAAGCGCCAAAAATTGGCGCCTATATGTATAGATTGGATGTCTCTTGCTGTCCCGCACTGTATAAGATCTAAATTCTTATTGGAATTGGACCACTTGTGATATAAACATATAAACAGGTCAATAATATTATATTATTTGCCTATTTTTTTGTAGGCCCTCTAAACTTTAGACGATAGTAATAAATTGCTTCAGAATATCAATGTTATAGAATGAATCAAAAAATAGGAGATAATTGTAGTGCAAATAATTCTCATGTTTATACCGTTTGCAATTCCGAAAGCGTTTCAGAATTGCCTATAGGTAATATTAAACTCTTAGAAGAACGTCTCAAGCGTTACGAAAATGAAGCAGGTCAAATAGAAGTACAGCAACATTATTAGACAGAATTTCATATTTACGGAAAAACAGAGAAAATGATGTATCAAAGGCAATCATTGAAATTGAAGATTCAATGAATGTTGATCTTTGCTTTGTTTTATACTGCACAGGCTCTATGGATGATCATATCAAAGCAGCAAAAAAGCATATATTAAAAGTAGCTAGCTTTGTAAAAAGCAATAATTCAAATATAGAATTCTGGGTTTGTTTCTGCGGCTATCGCGATCACTCTAATAATTTTAGTGATCGCTTACAAAATTTTGATTTTACTAATTCTCTCGAAAAATTTCAAACGTATATAGCCACTAAAGTAGCGACTATATGTAATAATGATGGTCCAGAAGATGTCTTAGGTGGACTTAATGCTGCAATAACTCAGATGACATGGAGTAACGCCACTCGTATTCTTATTCATATCGGCGATGCGCCACCACATGGCCATCGTTTTACCAATTTATATGACGAATATCCAGGCGGTGATCCGTATGGTTTAACTGAGAAAGTGTGCTAAAGAATATGCAATCAAAAAAACATTTTATACTTCTTTGGAAAAATTACCAATTATACTGATGTTATGCTTTATGTATTTCGTGAAATAATTGGAAAGTTTCCTGTATTTGATCTTATGACAACGGGATATAATCCTGCGGTATTAGTCAATAAATTTTACAAGGCTACTAGCTCTGCCATCTTTTCTTCTATTACACTAACTACAACTTTAAGAAACTCGAAAAGTATATACTCTTTGCAACGAAAAAAACTTCAAGTCAATCCACATGAACCTGATTGGACTACTCTTCCAGAGAAAACAGGAAAACTTTTACATTGTATTTTGCCTAAAACTCTGGCTGAAGTTAAAGATGAATATTATTTTATCAATTCAAGCTTTACTGAGCAAGATATTTCTTTTAAAAGTGCACCAGAACCATTCTCCAACGGTGCTGAACGATATGCTTATTTCGCACTTGATACAAGCTTGAACGAGCTAATAAATTAGTGATAAAAAAATATCACGATATTAAAATAGGCACAATAGAAAAATATTTAGAATCAGTGGAAATCATTAATATTGCTTATTTTCTTTCAACAATATTCAATGCAGCTGCTCAACAGGTTGGTGTGAATAAAAAAGTTACATTTAATGATGTAAAAGTCTTATAAGATAAGACAGATAATACTTACTACTCTGTAGAAAATTATATTGATAATGCAAAATTTAAAAAATTTAACGTGAATAGTGAATCAATCCGTAAACTTATCAAGCTAACTACAAACCCTACATATATCAGCAGAGTCATTTCCGACTTCGAAATACTTAAAAACCCAAACAAACCTTTTCTTAGATTTGCTCTAAATATAATGAAACTTACCTGCCACAGGCAGAACAGCTTATTATTAATCGCTACAAAATT